ATATGTTGAAGCTTGTGCTTTCCAAATGCTCACAACAGTGTGGGTTACAAAGAGGCATGAGGCCCCTAATTAAAGCTTCTTTAGGCCCTATGACCATGAGGGTTGTCACATATCGCCTTTTTCGCCCTGGCATTTTTATGTGGGTTTTTTTATGGCCGATTTATGGCCCATGGTCCTCGCAATAGAAAATGCTGGATAATATCAAAGATACTAGAAATACAAGATAGAGTTCTCCACACAAAAAAAGTGTTCCACCATCTTCCACCGAAATGCATGGTGGGAATAGGAAAAATGGGACGCCCCCTACAGCTGGATCTAAAAAAATTTGTGCCAAACTTTCGTTACCAAGTCGTCGCGTATTTTATTATCAATTCTCAACAAAGATACTAGATATAAAAACAAACTGGAATAGACACCCAGACAGTGACATCGGTGAATACATAACCTTATTGGTGGCGGTAGAAATCGTTGCTATTATCCAAATAATACACAAAACAATTAAAGCATAATCATGAATCCGTAAAGAATAAAACAACAATACAGCGCAGAATAGCATGGCCGGACGCACTCTTAGTGAAAAAGTTTTCCTTCATTAGTGGAAAAGGAAGGGCGCCTTTTGCGTCTGCATATTCTACTTAGCCTCAAAAATTCGCTCACGGCCCAAACTTGGGTTACGACCCATGGGTTGCCGATCGTAGAATTAATAAGTTAATAGTATATTATAAATAGATTTTATTATGACTGTATAACAGTTAGACCGCATGTCATGCATGCATAATAATATGCCAAATAAATATTAATATTATCACAATGAACTCTAGGTCTGATTATGATGGTCATTGTAAGTATAAGTTTTCAAATAGCACTGGAAGATTTCAGTTGACAGTAAAAAAAAAAAAGATTTTTAAAAGTGAAACTATATATATTGTTAAACCAACTGTTCCCTATAAAACTTTTTAACAACTGTGCTATTGTTTAACTGGCATTTAACTTTTTTATGACAGGCTTTAGAGACTGAACAGAAATCAACTGAGGTCCTTCTCAATAAAGATCCTATTCTGCCTACAGAGAAATACACATCCTCAAGTGAGGTGAGTGATGCCTTGGTTCAATGGAGGTGTAGCTTGGTGATTAGTAAGATGTTCATCTTCCAAAACTAAGTTGACATGCGGCATTCACATCGAATCCAACCAAAATTTGGACCATGTTTGCTGAATGCCAGCGTCCTTATTCTTACTCATTGATTTTATTTTCTGATTGGTTCGTTCGGCTTTCCAATCCTTAACCCTTAAATATCTAAGGTTTAAAATTAATGTAAATTCCAACAATTAAAATTACCTTTTTAAACATAACCACTGTAAAATCTTTTTAATCAGGACACAGCAAAAACACAGCAACATAATAAATAATTTTTTTTTATTTATTGAAGTATATTTGTTTATCAGCCTCAACACCATCTAATCCATGTTGGATCTTGTATTAAATCCTTCTTGACTATCCTTGACTAAGCAGTGTATATATCAGTGGCGGATCCAGGAATTTGAAATAGAGGGGGCCTGGAGAGGGACTTTCACAGATGGAAGGTCTATACTACCTCAGCCCCACCATGTTTGGGGCCCAGGTAAGAAAATTTATGATTTTGGCACCTCTAGATGGTCGGAAATGGAACTCAAAATTTAAGGTGAATTTCTTTTGTTCTGCTTTTATTTTGGAAAATTTAGGGGGGGGGGCCCGGCCGACTGGCACATCCCCCCTTTGAATCCGCCACTGTATATGTTGATTGATGGCTAAGAAGCTCGCCATCCAGTCCTACGATCTTGGATTCAATTCATAATTAAAAACAGAGTTTGTTCTCACGGCTAAGCTCCAGCTGCACTCCCTAAGCCTCATCAAGTGACTTAGTTTATAGAGTTTTGCTTACATCCTGTAAGTCATGAGTCACTCACTGTTAGAATATTCATATTTTTCATGTTTCATTTATAAATTCGGCAGACATATACGGAAAAAGGCAACCGGTTGCAAAGACGTACATAATTACTAATACTTTAGATTTACTTTATTTATTTAGGCACATGGCCAGGAATTGCCAATACGATGTTAATCACTGAGATGTTTAAAATAAGTAGCAGTTACTTAATACAAGACAAACATACACATGATGCTCTACATAAACTGAGTCTCATTATGAGGTTAGGGATTGGAATTGTTTCTATGACGGACAAGAATTGAACCCAGGATCCTAGGAGAAGAAGACAAGCATCTTAAAACCATTAAGCTATAGCAATATACAATTTGAATTCTATTCTCTCAATTTAGCTAAAAAGGTATAACAATAATCCTGAAACCATTTTATATGGAATCCACATAAAAAAAAAACCCCTAAAGTTCTAATTTAAAAAAAATGAAGGTGATGGTAAATATAATTACGTATGTGCTTGAAATAATTTTTCCTTAGGACGAATGCATAGATGAACTTGGTATGAACGCACCATTTATCTTTGAAGAAGGATGTCAGTTCACCAACAACACACTTACTGATCTGGACGGGATTTGCTGGGACAGTTGGAAATCAGTCAATCCGTTTTCCCTTGATGCCATGATGTAAGTCTCTTTTATGACAGTTGTAGATCTGTTGAAATATGTGTAATACATTTGCTGCCCTGTCATTTGATTTGATTTCTGATAACTTCCACGGTATTTTTGGGGGTGGGGTGGTTATGATTAACTTCTTTAATGTAGGATCAAACTATATTATTGAAGGCTCTTGTTATTAGCTTGTTATTTGTGTGCAAATTGTTGATAAGTATCTTTAAAAAAATGTTTAGTAGTTTTACTTTTGATTTTTTTTTTCATTTTTCAGTGGTCCACTTGAGCAAGATAAAAGACCTACAGTTTCGGAGAGCATGGATAGTATCACTGAGTCACCAAGTAACGATGCCTCCCCTACATCTTTAGGCAGGATGGTTGGTCTGAGTCGTAGCATGCCAAACATGTCTGTTGGATCAGGAAACACAGGTGCACCTGCTAAAAGCCCCAAAATTCTTGAGGCGATTCATGAATCCGTGTTACCATTGCATCTGGAGACCTCCAATCAATATTCTTCTCCAGAAGATTGTCTCAGCATTCTACAGATTCTCTGTGATCAAAAGGATGGCCAGCAAAATACTCTGCAGGGGTTACCAGTACAACTTAACCAAGAGCCACGAATCTCATCAGCAGCATCACATATCTCACCACAAACATCACTGATCTCACCAGCAATGTCACAGAACTCACCACAAACATCACAGATCTCACCAGCAACATCACAGATTTCACTAGCAACGTCACAGAACTCAAAACAAACGTTACAAATGTCACCAGTAACGTCACTAAGCTTACCACAGACTTCACAGATTATTTCAACAGCAGCATCATCATCAGGATTGATGGCATCATTGCCCCATATACGAATGAACTTTGACCCAGAAAAGGATCCCGATCCTGATTGGAGACAGCTGGAAGCTAGTCAGCCTTACCTAAAGCAACAATTTGGTTATGGAAATAATGGATCAAACCTGAGATTACTGAAACGCAAGCTCAGTAGCGATTTCAATTCACCAAATGCGAAATTGTTTGCACATTCCTCTGGTAACGGAATGCCTGTGAAGAAAGAATTTGATTCAAAATCAACAATTTTTCCACAACGTAAGTAGTTCAAGTATTGAGCTGTGTCCTTTGTGTATTTAGCAACATTGTTTTTTGGCAGTAAATTATCATCATTCTCTCAAAGTTTCTTAAACCTGCTTACTTGTAGGTGGCCTTTTTCACATTATTAATAAAGTTTTATCATTATAAGCCTATTAAATAGCTGGTATTTATGTTGTGTAAGCTCTGCAACATTGTTCGGCTGCGGGTTGCTTTCATGACAAAT